CACACACACTCGGATTGAAGTGAAGTCGCGCCACTCATCGGAAGTTTTGGGGAGAAGAAGTGCCGAAACGGTTGATTTAGAGATCAAACGTCTGATGAGCGGTCGAGAAAAGGAAAAGATGTGCTGTGCTGCTTAGTGAAACAGGGAGGAGAGAAGGAGGTAGAGCTGTACGGCTAGAAGGAACACGCTCACGGGGTGCATCTCAAGCTGAACCGGAGCCTGTTCGCAACTCAAACTGCGACGGGTTGATCGGCAGCCCGGTCGGATAGGAGAAGATGTCTGTCGGCGGATATGGGCTTGTGATCATCATCTGCTGGTCGAATTGCGGAGTCATTCGCTTCTCCTTTTGCCGTCGATTGCAAAACCATACACGGACCACCTAAAAGCTGTTTTTTCGGCACGGAAGTGAACATAATGATGTTTGAAAAGGTGTTGTAAATAAAATTTTGACTGTAAACAATAATATCTGATTAGCAAAACGAAATCTCGGTACCAGAAGCCAAGTGGAACTTTGAAAATTGAGCTTAGAACAGGAGAAACCACTAGCTAAGCGAACACGCAAAATAGGAAAGCTGTTCAAATGAGTAACAACTGTCGACTCCATAATAATCACAGTCTTAAATTAAAGAACTTTGCTTTTGAAAGTTATACTTTCGAGGTCCAACATCTTTAGGAGAATGAGTGGTGAAAGACTACTACCTCTTTGTCTAATCCAAGCTCATTCGCAACTTGCAAAATCTCCTGTGCATTTGGTTTGTGGTTCTTTTGGAAATGGTACTCCAGGCGAGACTTCACATTCACCTAGAACAATTGCGAGTGTTTACTACCAATTATATTTTCTGGTAATGGAATATAAAACACAACACCTTACCTCGATGCTTGTCCTCTTCTTCCTTTTCCTTCCGCCTTGCCCGGTCATTTTCTCAAAAGCAGAGTTAGGACTAGCGGAGGTGGAGTCAGCTTCTTCAAGCCATTTGAACAAAAGTGGCTTCAGTTTGCACATGTTCTGAAAACATAAGCTTTGATTGAACGATCCCAAGAGCGAGATATAAAGAGAAATGGCAACAATCAATTGATGACGAAGTTAACCTTGAACGACAATTGGAGCGCTTCGAATCGGCAAATCGTCGTCTGAGAAAACACATTCCCATACAGCGTACCCAATGCCAAACCGACATCCGCTTGAGTATACCTGTATGAAGTAATTGGATTGAAGAAGTTGGAGGGAGATGAAGTTGATGAAGTTGGGAATTCTCTACAAGTCTTGCTTACCCTAGCTTTATTCTTCGTTGTTTGAACTGCTTAGCAAAAGCTTCCAAGTCATCTGGGCAACCAGGCTCGGAGTCATCTGACAGTTGGGAGTGAGCGGTATCTTCTGAAGGGAATGTGTATGGCCATGGGTGAGGGAGTCGTTGGATAACTTCAGGCCTTTCGGTATCTACCTAAACTGCATTCCTTATCCACTTCTACACAAAGTATCTTCAAAAATAAACCAGAAGTAAAACAAAACCATATATTTCTCCGTCACAACGGCATTA